TAGATACCATAACTGTTAAGCACACGTTTAGTCAAAGGATCGGCTTTACTTGTCTTTGACGAGTTGTAGTATGGTGCTAAGAATGACAAGACTCATTGACCATGCTGGGGAATTGTCTGGGAATGTACCACATCCACCCTCGGTATTTGGAAATTATCATGCATACAATGGACTCTGAACTAAATTCTTTACTCTAAGTTTTCCTATCAATATAACTAAATTGCCAAAACAAAGTCAAGCTATTTGTATACAATGAAAGAAGACTGCGACCACACAAAAGGCCACACCATCTTGATCTTCATATCTTCCATCTAAGGTATGGTTGTGTATTTCATAGTTATCTTAAATGCTAGTGGATTAGTTACTATTCTGCGTGAAGAGAATTTGAATGTGATCACAACCATTTCCTTATATAAATAACCTAGTTTATCTAGTAGAGTTGATGCGTATTTATGTGTATACCACGTATAAAATGTCAATAAAAGATGTGAGATGTGAAAGACCTAACCATATTTGAGGCTATACAATCGTCTTATTTCTCAGTAATTTTTTCAGTCCCCTTCTCTCTCTTCTCCTAAGCCATCTATTTTGACAGTTAACTTACTTGCTGTGTCTTAGACCTGAGTAAATTCTGCCGTCCTCTGAGCCGACGAGGAAGTTGTTGACGTCGTCATCAAGGAAGGCGAGACACGTAGCAGCCACACTACGAGTCTGTTTATGGGCCAGCTCGAGGGACTGCTGAGGCTGACCGAGCATATCAAGGCTCCAGGAGCAGAGTTTGCCATCCGAGCTGATGCTGACTAGGTTGTGTGCATTCTGGCTACCTGTCACAGTGACCGTATGGACTGGATGTGTGTGCGCACTGGCCGACAAAGGCGTCCTTTGAACAGGAGTCCTTTTGCTTGCCCTGGAGGAAAGATGAAGCAGATAAAGTGGAGAATAAGTCAATTAAGATGATGAACAAAAAAGAATATAAGGCAAGAGAAAAATAATGCTGAATTTATGCGACGGCATGCGTAGCATGGGCATTCTTGGTTGCAGCGGTGAAGTCTTAAAATTCTCTCCTAATTTGTTCATGTATACGTTTTCAAATAAAGATTAAAGCGGTGATTCCAATAGAAATACAAATATTTGTTCATAGATATTGTCGTTGAATATGAAGTAGGTAGTAGTTATTGCCTAATGGATTAGTCGTGTTAACTACTTCCTCCTGATTCTCTCTTATTCCAGGACATCCTCTTCACGATTCAAGATCCTTAGCAGGTCCGTTAGCGCTTTTTCGTCAGAGGTATTTGTATGCATAGATAGTAAATAAAAACACATCAATAATCCCGGGTCTAATGTGGTACCTGGATAAATATTTTGCATTTTGGTCGAATGGAAGGAAAAAATTGGAGGAATTCTTAAAAAAATCAAATCCACAATGGGAGTAGAGGTAGAAGAGCCGTTACCTGTCCTAGATTTTAAAGTTTTAGTGACTTTTACTCCACAAGTTAGTTTGGCTACATCTCTTGCCACAATCAGCCAGTAAGCAGTATCTCTTAATTAACGCAACCATACTACGAGCACGACTTTTTGCACTGTCTCGTGGCGATTGAATGAACTTAGCTACCGCACCGAACCCCAGACTGAGCCAATCAGAACATGACATTAAAAGAACACAACAGAATTTTCAGCCAGAAGATATTTAACTAAGGTCATTTCCTTGGGCCGTTGTGACATTCTGTGACTTAACACTGACCCCTTACCCAAGCAACACACTTCGCCATCTTCTTCATTTTTCCAACTGAGAATCCTCATCTATAGCTTTTCTTCGAAGGTATGAAGAGCAAGATGGTGTGGCATTTTGTATGGTCGCAGTCTCCTTTCGTTGTATAGAGGTTGT